TTAGGTGATGACCTCTAAAAATGTTAGTTTATAATGTTTTAAAGTTTTGGTTGTTAGTAGTAGTTTAGTTTAGTTTATTTATTTAAGATGACAATGGCCAGGGACAGGGACAGTGTACAAAAAACATTGACCTCAAAGGGAAAGATGCTGTAGCAGGCAATAGCTAATTTACAAATGGATACATTTGCTTTCTAGGCTCTTTATTTGAGCAAACATTGACATTTTACATTAATTAGTGTATTTAAGTTATAATTATTGGTTGTTGCTGTTACCTTTGTAACTTTTTTCTATTGGGCCATTTACATGTATGTGCATTCTCTAAGTGAGTGAATGTTTTGAATAAACTGAACTGAACTGAACTGTGTGTGACACTGTGGACTTCACCACTGTTATTGCTCAAACTCTAGGCACAGTGTCACTTGGGTCTGTTTACATATTTTGAATTAGACCAGTGAAGCTTTTTTGCCCCTAGAGTACCAGACCTGGCCCAGTCTTAGTGAACCAGACCAACAAGTGTGAAGTGAGAATGCCCTAAATGACTCGAGGCCTCTGACAACACTCATTGGGTCCAAATCTTAAGCTTGATTTGAACCGAACCTACAGATGCATGTTTTGAGAGTTGGGGCAGTTAAAGACTGGAGGCAACCCAAACATAACAAACAAGCAGGTTCCATGAAGTCAATCTAACACTCTTTAATAAGGGAAAACTAAAACATAACAGAAGTATTACACTTAACACAGTTGACCTTGTTGACAGTTATGCCAGATTTATACGGTCCAGTTTTAGCTCTTCTCGGGAGGGAATGATCTGCTTTTCAGTCTTTGGCGCAGCAGCATCTGTTTTTATCTACAGAAGGCCTTGTTCTTGTTGGTAACAGCGACCCTGCTGCAGGACCTACTCCCACTGGTCTGATCAGCATGAGTCATGAAAGGTCCCTGCAGCAGAACAACAACAAGAAAAACTTTGTCTTCAGATCTTTGTCTTCTGCTCTGTGTTGTTTTAAACTGGTGGCTTTACTTATGGGAAGTTGTTTCAATGACAAAATAAGTAACGTGTCAAAATATAAAACAGAAAAATCTAAAAGTGATGACAAATCATTATGCAGATGACTCCTTGTGGCCACCGGGAGGGCAAAGTCAAAAGGGAAAATGAGGATATGAACATTCATCAAGTGAAATCTATAGTTCCAGGTGTCATCTTAGGACACTGATTTTTATACTTTGTAAATAAATACCCCGGCTTCAGTTTCCCCTTTTCCTGTTGGAATTGCATATCTTGATATTAATAGTTTGTCCTTCCGTCTCCTCGAAAATTAACCTTGCCTCATTGACCTCTGACTCAAAGTTCCGCAGAGACAACATAAGCGATGTCAGCCGGACAAATGGAGCTGAGTCGACTTGACATGTGGCGTAAGGAAAAGCTGCTGTCACTTAGCCTCTGGCATTGTTTAAGTGACTTCAAGCTGAGACTGCAAGAGCCATGGACGCCCGGCTACCAAGTCATTACACCATATAAGGTATTCGGTAGGCGTGTCGTCAACTAAAGAATGGAAAAGTCACGAGTCCCCCCACTTTCACGAACCCCACAAGTTGTAAGGTCATTATGGTCGGGGCTACAACTGTATTTGCAAGTCCCAAAAAACAGAGTCTGCTTGTTTCTTGTTTGTTTGTATTTATTTTCATCATTACATTGGTTTACAATAATTAGGTATTTTTTGACCAGATGAGCACTAATATTTAACTTGACCTATAGATGTTTGGGATTAACATGAGCAACTGTATGTGTTACATGCCATATTGCTCATATAAACCTTTTAAAATCACTGTTTAAAAGTTTTGAAAATATTTTAAGTATCCCTTGTAATACCATGCAGTACCTGTAGGAGTTTCTTTGGTTGGGAAACACTGAATTTCTGACACACATATTATTGGGGAATGACAAAGGCTCTTGAAACCACATATTTCAATGCCACGGCATTGAAATATATGGCATTGACAAAGATGTATTTGGTCTTAAAGGTATACAGGAGGATTTTCTACTTCCGGGTGGATCATCAAGACTGTTGGTCCACCCCATTGTCAATCATTCTGGTGACACATGCTTATCAAATAAGACCAGAGAGTTGTGTTCAAGAAGGGGAGAGGGCGGTTCTTTCAAAAAATCCTCCTATTCTTGGGTTTCATATGACGTCAGGGCAGTGGCGCGAATAACAAACGTAGGACAGGACGTGATGTACCCTGGCGGTGCAGTCTGCCGGGTTTATACACGGAGATATAGTAGAAGAAGAAGCGCTGTCAAAATGCCATCTTTTTGAGCGGTCTACGCTTGTAGCAACCGCACAAATAGAGAGAAAGAAAAGAGTTTCTTCCATGTTCCAACTGTGGTCTCATATAAAGGAGGACACTTTAAAAAAATCACTTGAATTAGACGGGCGAGGTGGATCAAGGCATTCCCAGATAAGCGCACCCTGCAGGCCACCCGAATGAAACGCAGCAATTTCTTCAGTTTTTCTTTCCCAAACGACCCAAAATCAAAACTCTTTTGAGAAATATTTTTTAGTACTGGCTTAGAATTGAGTGTCCCCAATTAAGACTGTTACAACAACCGTACACGCACAGGATGAGAGCCTTTTGACTCCAAAACAGACATGATTTACATGGTTTTCAATGGAAGCAAAACTGAGTTGTCCCACCTCTACTCATTCGCCCCCTACTGGCCAGTTTAATGAAACCCAAGAATACACATAAAAATTATTAGCACAATTTCCATTCTGATTGTTCCGTTTTCCAGTTGAAATCTTTGCAATTTAGATGACATAAGTAGTCGACCAATAATCCTCTGACTAAAATAGAAAAATAAAGACCTACAGCCTAGATTTTTGGTCCTGATAATTAGCTATATTTTACAATCCATTCGACAGAGATTTTAACAATAATACAAACTTTACATTTATATAGCATACTGAGTGCTTTCACTTACATTGGCCATGAAATATTCACATACCACTCCCAGAAAACAATGTTGAACTGCAGCATCTGTTAAAGTCTCGTTCTTGTCCACAAGAGAAGCATTACGAATATATGTGAGCCTGTTTCCTTTGTTATCTTTTTCTGAATCTTGCCGCTTGCATCAAGGAATGTTTGTACTTGTGAATAAGTTAAAAAAGTAAACCTATTACTGTGGATTTACAAATATTATTGTGCAATGCTTATTAGCCATTTAGACTTTTGGAGGCTACAAAGAATGACTTTAAAGACATCATTCAATAATATGGATAACCTATTTAACTATTAATATTGACAGGTAAACAGTTAAATACCTGATTTATTTTCAAATGAGTTCATAAAAATGTGTATTTCTATCAACAAGTTGTATTAAAATCCGTAATTTAATTGAAAACTTGAGCTCATTGATTCAGCTTATGTATGAATTCAGGCCGTAAAAAGTGCTGAGTAGAGGCTTTAGCGTGGCGGCGCTGTTACAAACAGGCTGCGTTCTCTAGCCTCTACAGCGCTGCTAAACACGGTAACATGTTACCAGAAAGTGGCTATAACTCCTCTTGCTGCAACTGCAGACAAAGCAAAACAGCTCAAACGACACAACAGTGAGGAAGAGAAGAGGGAACTAAAGCGAAGAAATGATCAAAGAAGAAATCAAGCCCGGGTGAACATAGCTAGCTCACATTGTATCCTCCGGAGAGACCTGCGGGAGTGTACATTTGGACTCAAAACTAGCAGTAATCTTTCAGTTGTATATTTTGTTAGCAGTGCGTTGCTATTGTACCATTTCTTCAGTGATTGTTGTACAGTTTATGAGAAGTTGCGCTCATGCCAATGTTTGCATACGTATCAGATCTCAAATACAACTAAAAGGCTCTGTGGGATGAGAGCGTAGGGGAAATGAGAAGCCTGTGAGAGAGTATATATAATAATTAATATAATTATAGGTATAATTTCATATAGGTCTATAAAGGCGTCACCATGGAGGAAAACGGTTGACTGAAGTGAAGTTGTACAGTAGTGAAACATGCTGTAAATACATGAACAAGGACAGCTTTGGAAATATTAGTGGATTATAAGTATGTCTCCTGTTTACCCAAGCCTTTGCCCCATCATGTATGGTTTAGGTGATGCAGTGTGCACAGAGTCTCGTGTAAGAATACAGTTAGTTCAAGCTATTCTACAGTTCTTCTTCAAAACTTCTTGAAAGTGCAGAGTCATGCTGTACATTTCCACTCTCTGCTTCACAGAGAGAGCACAGATTGTTCCTAGGACAGTATTAACTCAAGCAGATTACCAAACCAAGACAGTCAAATCTTAAATAATAACATAGTTAGGGCATGCGTTAAAACACAGACACAGAAACGGCAACATGCACGCACACACAGCAGTGCACACTCAATCAGCACAAAGCACAAAACCAGTGTTGGCATCTGGAGCTCCGACTTCATCAGCTTACACTCAGAAGTAAAAAGCTCAGCAGAGGCTATTGGCTTTTGCACCACAGTGCTTAGACAGCCGTCTAAGCCCAATGCCATGTCAAGCAGCATGGCATTTTGGAAACAACATTCACACCAAGTTTATGCCCAAGATCAGCTGCTTATGAGGTGTAAAAAGGTACACACGCTGGTTTTCTGGCCCGAATAAATTTGTGCTGACCCTGCGGTTAATCCCACTCCTCCCTTTGCGTCGCGGCTACTTGCCCAATGTTAACTGAGCGAGTGAATTCAAAGGTTAATTTGAAAGCATAACGCTGTTTAAGCAGTAATTATATTAGTTTGCTTTTTTCTTTTGACTTTGCATGTTGATTTAGGAAAATGTTTCTGGGGCTGTATCACAAAGGTTTCATACCCCATAGAGCAGCTTAAAGGAGAAGAGATGCTGAGATTGAAGTTATGCAGTTATAAGAGTTGTAGCAGCCTTAAGCATGAGTGCCAGCGGAGTGAAAAGAAGAGGTGGCTCTCATGGCAGGGGAGAGGGTGCTGAAATGCTATGCCCACCTTGGTAGTCACTGTGAGGAGGGGCTTTCCTTCTGATGACGCCTTACTGGGTATCTCCTTCAGGACCATGGCAACAGTCTTATCTGCAGACCTAGAGTCTTTCCCCTACAACAGTGAGATCAACAACGACTCTGTCAGGAAAGTGGGACAAACCAAACATTAGCCCCTCTGCACGACATGTTACAATCAAACACTTGAGTGGATGGAAATAGTGTGTGTAAAGTAACAGACATTTGTGCGACATCATGGCAATGGGTCACTACACAATGTGGAGGTGTGTACACAATGGAGACATGTGCTGTTTGAGTGCGACACACAGAACCAGGTGTTCTGTGTATGACCATGTGGGACAAGTGAGCGGTGGAAAGTCACAATTTGCATTTACAGTGGAACTAGTCTGATCAAGGCTTTGACTCTTTTGAGCTTTTAACCATGATGTCATTGTACCATTATGACATCATACTCTGAGCCGTTTTCAGCCAAAAATAATGCTTAATTTTTCTTATTTAAGTTCATACACTGTGGCCATTTTTATGCCTGTGTGCCGGAGAAAGTATTTAAGAAAAAGTGAGATTGATGGTAAGTTTGACACAATTTACAGCTTAGATAGATAGATTCACTAAATAGATTGAGCAAGAAAATATATATAACGCCATGAAGGCATTTATGAAAACAAATTGATACAAGTGTGTATTTATGACTCTATTGGGCGCGCCTTAAATCTTGTAGCCAATGTAAAATGCAACAAATACAGCAGCTTTCTGTAAATATCGCTATTTTCTTGACACAGTATTCTTGCACTAAACAGCAATAAATAAATAAAAGCTCTCAGCAGATCAGGGCATGTGGCATAACGTCAATGCCGATTTAAATGTGTAAAGTACTTAACACTGGAAGGCGGATTATTTACTGTTGTGACCTCTGCACAAGATTTATGTACAGGGTATAATACATTCTTTGCATTACACTTTCACATTCACCTGTGCATCTGTCTAGCTTTATGAAGTGAAGAGAAAATATAATTGCATAAGAGATCATATTGACCTGAGCTCTATCGACTGTTGGCGTTAGGAGTCTAGGCCTATGCTCAAAACAGTCAAATGTGATATCATCCAATACTTAATATAATAATGTTCCAGACTTTTACAGTTTTTTTTCCTATTGCTTGAACACATTTTTCAAATTGTTGCTCATAGTCCCAAAACTCTACATATAAGACAACCTGACACAACACAGGGACATAAACCAGACACATCTGAGTCAAAATGAAACTTTACGATCAAAACTAAACTATCCTTTGTTTGGTTTTGCTGACAAAATGATACACACTTGCATCATGTGAACACACTTTCAGATTGGAAACAACACACTAGAGAACTTTATATAAAACACTGTGTCTGTCATTTTCACTGTTTTTATTCTGTTTATCAGTTTTCTGTGAAGCTCAATGGAACTGATTTTGTTCTCAACAACCCAACATGAAAGTACTGTATGTTTACAGATAATATCAACTCGATACTGTACATCACAGTACTACAGTATACTGTACAGTACAGTCAAATCTATAATGTAAAAATAGGGTGGGTGGGATTATGGATCATGGTCCCTGCTCTGACTATTTCCACAAAGGACAGTTCCTGCTGTTGGGTGAACAGGTGTTGACCAACTTGAGAATGTCTTCTAGTCATTCTGTAGTAATATGTAACTATACATTGTTACTGTTGTTTAGTTAAAACAAACTAAGGCAGTGCAGTACTGTAAATACTGTAGATACAGTCTGCAGTAGAGTTTCCATCTGAAGGTCCTGATGATGGAGCTGTGGCTGGACTCTCTGCTTCCCTCATTCTCACACATGATCCACCACAGTTGCTCTAATGTCAGCAGAAATATTGTTTCATAAATGGCCTCTTTTACCACGCCCTCCTCTCTCCTTGTCTTCCTCTTCCTCTACCTTTTCTTCTTCCTGCCTCCATACTTGCAAAGTTCTGAAAATGGCTAAACTGAGCGCCGTTTGTAAGTGTTTTCAAGTGTCTGTTTCAGTGTTTTCAATCAAATCAAACTAAGTGTCTTAAGTATGAAAAAGGGTGTCGTGAGCAGAAGAAAGTGTGCTGCAGAAAAGTAAAGCACAAAACAATACATTTGTTTTTGGAATGGTTAGACTGTGTTTGAGGTGTGCAAAAGCTTCAGGTTTCGTTACTTTGTCTGTAGTGTCCATAGTGTTCAGTAAAAACTGTAAAGCTGGGGTACCAAACTTTCAAACCACCAACTGTAATACAATCCATCTAACCCAGGGGTGTCAAACCGGTTCCAGACAGGGCAGGTGTGGCTGCAGTTTTTACTTCCAAACTGAGCAGGAGCACTAACCAGTTCCTCACTCTCAAAACAGTTTGGTTCTATCACTCGTTTTACACATGTATTTTTGGCCTCTTTCACATCTTAAGATCAGCTTTCTCAAACAGAACACTGAAAAAAGGGGGCCACTCTCACTCAGCATCAAAAAGTGACTCACAGGGCTCTTTCTTATGAGTATAAAAAATATGTTTTATAATTAGATGAAAAGCCAAAGCCATTCTGTGGTCTTTTACAACACTATTTCAGTTCCGGAACACAAAAATACAGCGTTTATGAAAGAAATAAAGTTAGGTAGCCCAACTTTAATGGGTGTCTATATTTTCATACCTGAACCAGAGTCAGGTGAATTGAGTGTGTACCAGAATAATGATAAAAACAGACACAACATTAGAACACATAGTAGCATTCTTCATTTGTGCTCCCACAGACAAAAACCAAAAACTCTGAAAAACCCTTTCCCACCATCTTTGCTAACACTTTTCACCAAGTCCATTATATATTTCCTCAATCGGCAGGTTGTGAGCGCTGTAACTTAAAAGAGACTACAGCCCTGAAAGCCTAACACCATTAATACAGACATCTCAGCCACCTGCGCTCACTGTTCTACCTAAATGAAAATCCATCTGTGAGAAAACGCAAAGGTGTCATTTTCAAGGCCTGACGAGTGAGAAAATGCTTCTAACAAACCACAACATAAGTTTTGTTTTTGCCACTGTATTTGACAGATGGTGCCTCTGCAAAGGCGTCGCTGCGTTGGCCGTGTCTCACTCCATTCAGTTTGTACTGGCTCAAATGTTTGCCTTTGTTGTCTGGGGTTTCAGCGTACTGTATGAGAACGGTTTCATGTTTCTTGGGAAATTAGCAGGATTTCTATCACGTTCACTGCTTTGGCGACACAGGGACAACTTTTGTGTTACATTTTTGTATTCCGTGGATGGACATGTAGAGACCTTTTCATTTTCTTTAAAGTGATAGTCTGGAACTCTAAATTAATCATACATTTTAAGAATTGAATTAAATTTACCTCCTGGCCTTAAATGTTGATATAAAATAAATCATTTTATTAATCCTAATATAACGGGTAAGTCCCGCCTTCCCTTCTCTTAGCTATAGCTCAGAATCCACGATGCCGTCCCCGTTAACCAATCAAGTGATGCCAAGGGCTGTCAATCATCGGCGCTGATGCTCGTAGCTGCGCATGCTCAGTTGTTTGTTTTCGCGGAGCCTCCGAATCAAGCCTCCACAGGCTCTGAAACTACATGAAAACTGAACAAAGAATTCTGAACATCTGCGCTGAGTTACCCATTTATACTGTATACTGAACCTATATCCATAATCATTTATATACTGAACCTATATCCATAATCATTTATATACTGAACCTATATCCATAATCATTTATATACTGAACCTATATCCATAATCATTTATATACTGAACCTATATCCATAATCAGATCCTCTGCAGATGTGTCCTATAATGTTCAATTCATGATAATAGCTACTTCCGGGTTTACTGTGATCGCTTTTTTTGTGCATTAAAACATAATTTTTTTCATGAAAACGATAACAAATAATTCTGAAAACCTTTGTGCATGTGTATTAATAATGTATATGTATAATGTATTTTCCGATTAACATTTAAATGTGTTACGGAAACGTAGGCGTAGACCAATCAGAAAGGAAGGGGGAGGGAGCTTGCATCGTTTTTTTCCAATCAAGTACCTCTCTCTCTTTTTTTTCTGACAAACTCCAGACAATAACTTTAACTTTTCTAATAAATCTTGGTCATTAAGGATAGTGAACTTAGAATTTAGTACAACAGATTTAGTGAAAAGTATTGTTCAGAGACAAATAAACAGAACACAAACAGAACAAACCCGGTGTCTGTGAGATTGCAGTGGGGAATGTTTCACCCTATACGGTACGACCAAATCCCATGTTGTGCTTTTGCATATGTATGTCACTCCATACAGATTATCAAAATCAACTGTAATCCCAAAGCCCTGTATGAAATATGTTATATCAATAAATGTTCTTCTTTCTATTTTTGAGGACGCATTATGACCCACTTGATTTCAATCTCCCATTCACCAAACAAAAGGCACGTTCAACATCGCTATTGTCCAGATGACGAACAAAAGGACCGTTCTGAAAATGAAGCTCTGTTCTTCCACGCTGCTTGATTTATAAACGAATGGAGAGCCATCCGGGCCACTGGGCTAATTAAAGGCAGCAGACTTGAGCCATCTCAAGTGTCCAAAGATTATCTAATGAAGCATAAGATACATTTTACAACAGAGCCTGAAGCTAAAGTCATGTTCACTCATCACGTCATTTACACACAATAATATCTAGTGTTACTATGAAAATACATGAATTTGAATAGTGATTCTAACAAAGGCTGGGCGAAATGGCAAAAAGTGAAATCTCGATTTGATGGCGCCTTTTGCACAATTACCATTTAAATTATTTTGATTACCAATCCATTAACTAATTATTCTTTTTTATCCAATCCTTTGGTTTGGAAGGTGATATTAAACCATGTTTTCTCAAGTGGGAGGCAGCTGTGTTTTTGGTATGTTTTACTTTATGGCTATAAAAGAGAAAGGTCAATCTACCTCAGAATTACATGTCAGATATGTGATCAAAAACTTTACAATCGTTCTCTGGTGGAAATTTGTATCAGTGAAAGAGGAACTGTCCAAGCGAAGATGG